TGAATCTTAAAAAAAAAATGAAACATAACCTCTCGCAAGCAACACGGTGACTCTCAGCAAGCTCAGAAACTAAACGTTTTCTTAATTGCAATTGTTCATCAACATCATCCTGAAACAAAACAATAAATTTTTAATGGGAACGGAAAATGAACTTAATTGGTAAAGTATACTTGAAATGCGCGCAATTTGACAGTTGCCTTGTCCAGTTTCTCACAACCCATTTTGTGTGCAGCGTCAATTTGAACGAGATGATGCCTTGAATGTAAAAACACAGATAACTTCAAAATAAGGGTAAGAATTATGAATATGAAGCTCTGTTTTCTTTCTATTGTCTCAAGAAATGAAGACAACTTATTATTCATTCTCAAAATAAAAAACCATTACTAGGATACAGGATGAGATTAAATAAAACTCCCCATACTGGCTAAAGTATTTCACTATTGATAATATGTAACAGTCATGCAAAAAAATATTCAACAATTTATACCTTTTGTTAACAAATGCCGTAGCTATCTATCTGTCCACCTCATTTGACAACATATTATTTGTTGCAAAAACCGCAAACATTTTGCCATCAAAAAGTTAATTAAAAAATTCAAAAAATGACCTTGAATCAAAACCCGCGTTATTAAAGCATACAATGCATGCTAAATTACGATTTTCCATTGAATATAGGATGTAAGGCTCTCCATGTATTGCACAAGTCATGCGTCCCTTGACCCGCGCTCGTTCTTCCAGCGGTACAACTCGGTGAGCAGCAAACATTCGAGCCTGAAATTTCTTTTCAAAACATCCGCAGTATGCTTGTGTTCTACCATCCAATTTCTTCTGTAGAAAACTAAGAAATGTCGTTCCAACTAAATAGAATTAGAAAATAAATATAGAACAAAATTACCTGATGTGTACTATGCCGGCAGCGATTACAAAGAGCCTGTTGACAGGTTTCACAAAAATGCATCGGCTGAGAAATCTTAAAGTCGTGAATTCTTATTGAATTGTGTTAAAGCAAACAGAAATGTAGCCCCCTACAACCACAGATTACATATATATTCTCGACAATATGGATATCGATGGAAAAGATAAATAATAGAACAAAAATCTTTTGTTTTTTGAATTAGAAACTGAACTCATAAAGTAGGGTAAAGTCTATGTTCTTAAAGCATAAATTCATACATTATATCCAGATTTCTTTTACCTGGTCACAATTAGCACATACGTCAGCTGTTTCATGACTAGTATCAATTAAGAATGAAAGCAGATTATCTGGACACACTTCACCATCAACTGCGGCCCCACATACAGGGCATGTTTTGTTATTCTGGATGCATTCACGACAGTAGTTGTGCTGACATGGTAAACGAACAGGTGATGAAAATTCCTGAATAAATGCTTCACTTTCTTCGTAAAATTTAACAGTTCAGCAATTGAGAAATGGGATCACAAAAGAATTAGCAATCGAATAATAGAAGAGCCACAAACTGAATAAGTCAATGCTGCAAAACTAAATAAAAAAGAATACTCGATCGCATATGAGACATTCCAGTGGATTTCTCGATTCCACATTCTCTAGTTTGAACATCAGTAGCGAGGATGAGCATGCCATCAACCATCATTTCATAAGCGTTTAAACGCCGGTGTAAGTTGTGTAACCTAATCGAAACACACAAAAAAAAAAAAAAAAATATCGAAAACACTGATCTCTCCCAAAGTAATCAACATCTCCCATTAACCACTCAGCCTCTGACATGTTCAAAAAATCTCGAATTGATCTAAGAAGAAGACTAACATACTGATGGGAACAAGGACAATATAATTCTTTCACGAGTAGAACAATATAATTCTTCTGTAATTAACAATACAATTCTCTGAAGACCATTTAGTAAGTCCAATTTCGTATTAAAAATCGCATAATCAAATACTCACAAAGCGACCAACACTTGCAATATTCTATGCTGTTCTTTCTGTATATTATGAAAACAAAGTTACTGGGGTTTTATGAAACCATTCATACTTTCTATAAATAAAAAAATGAATTCTACGAATAAAAAACGAATTTATTCCAAAATTCCTCATAAAGTTAACGTTCCAATAAGCAACAGAAGACAATATCAAAAATACCACTTTAAACAACACAGAAATGTCAAATAACAAGCAATCTCTGAAGGAGAATTTCCAAAATCATAACAGCTATTATTACAGAAAAAAATTTGCAAAAAAGAAGACAAATAAATATGACAAGGTTTCTTTCTGAAAAATTTACAAACAATCTGATGAGACTGACGACAGAATTTTTTTTCTTTCCCACAAAAAAGAAAAATCCAGCTCAATCTTTTCCAGAAAATTATTCACTTGATCCAAAAATAACAAAAGCAAAGTGCTCAAAATATACTGTCATATGACATCTTAAAACACCGTTATAGTTAGCAATACCAAATTTGAAATGTTTAGTAAGATTCTCGTTGGACAAGTTAATTCTAGAACAAATCAAAAGGGGAAAGTAAAGACACGACAGAAATACTGTAAATATTTTAATCAACACTTGCTAAAATAATTCCTTGGGAATGAGAATGAGGGCTAAAGAAAATTTTATCATTTCACTTGTAGAAACCTCCTAATTTAGTACAATAATCATACTCAGTAAGATTTTAAGTAAAATGATATTCAATATTAATCGCTGATAACGTCACTCATTTTATACATGGAAGAATATTCCACGTCGATCAAAATGAGTCCCACTAAGCCCTGGACTAATTATTCCAAAAATAACGGATAGAGTGTTAAAATAAAGGCAGTCCTCTTAGCATATTCAAAAGAAGAATTGTATTCCTAGTACCAATAATATACTTTGTTCATAACTACAATAAAATGCTAGAATGTAATTATTAATATTGGCAGGATTGTGGTTAAAATCAGATAATATTCAAAAAAGATTGAAGTATTCCTTTATCAAACTACTAAAATATTTACTGCAGCGTTTAAAAGACTAATTTCTGAAAACTAATAATAACACCGATGGCTCTAGTCGATCAGTTTCTTGGCTTTGAAATATCGACGAAGATATAACACCTGCCAGATGGCCAAACTGAGAAGGCACAACATCGAAAATATACTCAAATACAATACTCGACTGTTTGTTGATTCTGGAGACTTGATAATTTAATGGTTTTTCTAGTAAAACAAATATTTTCTAACATTAAAATCAACTAATGTATTGCGCTGATTGTGTAACAGTCTTTCAAATTCAAAAACAACCAGTCAAAATATCCTCTATTTTTTTGGTAAATTAAAATCAATGGCGACATATCGTACTTGAACTGTATATATAAGTAAATATATTCAAATTTAGAAAAAAATTTCCAAAAATAACTGACAACATGGATACTACAAATTTCTTACCGTTAGTGGATCTCATTTCCTCTTCCCTTTGCCTCATATAAGCAAAATCTTGAACAATTGAATCGGACAAATCCTCCAAACTAAAAAAATGATGTCATGACTTTAGTAAGTGAGGACCAGTAGCTTAATTTAGCGAACGAAAAGAACTAATTAACGATGGAATATTAATTTTTGTATACTAAATTTTCTATATCTGAAAAGCTCGGAAAGAAACATATGAAGTAACTTAAACAAATACAACACTAACCGCCTTAATTCAACTTCTAATGGTTTAAGTTGTTCTGCCTCGGCAACTGCGTCGTAATTTTTTGCTTCTACGCCTCGTTTCATCTCCAAGTAAACTTCACGATTCCCACCTCGAACATCTAAGTAAAAGAAAAACTGGAATGTAAATCAGCATTGCTTACAGACAATACTTCATAATACATTTAGGCTACAAACATCAGCAATTTCAAAAGACTTAGTCTTTTTTTTACAGCTTTTTTTGCCATAAAATGCCATAAACGCATAATAATAACAAACTTGGTGGGAGATGTGTACTGAAGCATATTTCAAAGATATCATATTCGTCAGCTGTGAATGCAAACTTGCCACTTGTTTCAGTGAAACGTTCCCGCTGATATAATGTGTGACTTCTAGTATCTGTTACCTAAAACAAAATAGATTGTTTGCTTGCATCGAATCATATACCATTAACATCAATGATATGTGAAATTATATTTCACAAATTTCCACTATTTTCAACAAAAAGCATAGTATAAGTTGAGTATAGTTTCAATTCCTACTTCAATATTTATTATTATTCTAGCATCTGTTTTTTTTCATTTTTTATAGAAAATGGACGACTTACATGAACAGAACTAATATGACCCGTGGTATCGGCAAATTCATATGACCCAGTGACAACCACGTTCTTGTGTATTTCTTCCTTCAAACATTTTTTACCATTCGGTGGCACGTAAAACCTAATGCTTGCCGTCTGTGAAATAAGAACGATAACCAGAAGAATGGTATCCATATACGTTATGCGCATCGTCCTCAAATGTCTAGTAAATTAACTAATTTCAACGGCAATAAATAACAGGCACAAGTAAAAAAAAATAAGCTACGACTTATCAGCTCCTTCATAATGAGATGAATTTGCAATTAATGCATTATAGGAGTTTGAAGAATAATCACGGAGATAACAAAAATATTTCCAGAATGCTCAACCGCCTTCCTAGAACATCCAGGACGCCAACTTTTTGCTCTTTTTTTTCCAACTACTAGTCATTATCTTCTCTTGCACAAGACACCGCCCCCCGCCTCCTGAACCCGACCCGAGATATTGCGTGGATTGGATCTCGACGACAGTACGGTAGCAACAAAAGCTACCACGTAATCCTGTCAAACCATTCCCCTATGAAATCGCGACATCTCATTGTGTGTTAATTTCTTTGCTGGCAATAGGTGCGAATAAGTAGGCGTTCTTACTTATTTCCCACGAATTTTATAGCTACACGTGAAATAGTACGCGTAAGCTCCATGAACTAGCTTTCGTTCGTGTCTGTTCGTTTTTAAACGGTAGCTTTTACATACTTTGGCACAATGCATTTTTAGCTATAATGGATCCGCCACCGGTCACGGCACAAGATAAAACAAGAAGCGAACACATGGCCATAGATCTCAGTGATATCACTTCCGACACTGATGTCCATAATTTGGACTTTTTTGATTCCGCCAGACATGATTGTCAAGAAAGAGGTTTTCGATTTACGTTTGTCAGTTGAGGCATATATCGGAATTGGTCATCTCACTTTAGACATTATTACTTTGCGAATTCTTTCATTTGTATTACTTTCTAGTCAGGTATTTTATTTTTGATTTTAGTGATGCATCATTTTTCATAGAAAAGTAAAACTTGGCTGTTTATTTGCTCAAACTTATTGTGGACAAATAAACAGCTAGTGATCGTGTTAGAAAAATATATAACAGCGACAAGATTTATCATTCAGGATTTCTCTCCAGATTATGACGTTTCGGGAACGATGTCAACAAATATTGAAAATTCTGATGAAAAACATTATCGAAGGATTATGCAAGGTGGGTATACCAGTCATTTCCTTGAAAACCGAGGATTTGGTTGGCTTTTAGACATTGACGATGACATGGTCGATTTTCAGAGGCCTTTATTGTAAGTGTCAGTTTTATCTTCTCACAGGTTCTCAGTATCGCTAGATAATACATTTTGTTATATCATTGTTATATAAATTCTTTGCGATAAGTTATAAAAAGATATGCGGAATTGCTCAGTAGATTAAAATGAAATACTCTTACTAATCATTACATTTCGATATTGGTTACACTTTTTATTTAAAATGTTGGTCTTTCAAGTCATTCATGATTTTTTTTATCGCAAATTAATACGTTAAATTGTTTTTTTTTTTTTTTTTTTTAAAGTTTGCGTATTGTGTTTCAATTTGTATTGAATACAGGGAGGAATTAGATATTGACTTGTCTGATATTTATTATAAAGTACGCTGCGTTTTATTTCCTTTGCCTTATTTTCGTCTGAAATTATGCATCGTTCGAGAATCGCCTGATTTCTGGGGACCACTATTTATTGTTTCAACTTATGCATTATTATCATTGTACGGACAACTAAGTGTACGTTTTTCTTGTATGAATAATTTTGGATTTGTTTCACTATGAAATCCAACGTATTCAAATTTAAAAGTGATCAAACAGGATACAAGGGATCATGGAACAGGCATTTCAATGCTACACTCTGATAAGATTATAATAAAGTAGTAATTATAAGAGCTGATTCGTTAGTTTTTGTTTACAGCAAATGTTTTTAAAATTTTTTCTGGATGTCAGGCACACCTTTTTATCAAACAAATAATTGATAAATCGGAACGAAGGAATATGAATTTTTGTTCTGTTCGTTTCTTTAAAATGCATAAATGTATAAATTTTAGGTGCTTTCATGGATTCTAACAATTTGGTTTATTGGATCATTTTTTGTTTTTTTCCTAGCTCGAGCTTTGGGAGGAGAAGTCGGTTATGGTCAAGTACTTGGTATTGTCGGTTACTGTCTCATACCGTTAGTTGTTGTAGGCTTAATTACTTCAGTTTTGTCAAGGTAATCTTTTCTGAATGACGAATAGTACTGCCAATCATATTTGTGTTTTTTCATAGTTGCTTTTCTTTTTGTAATTTGGATTATCTATAGCTCTTATTAAGATTGGAATTTGTGAAAGCAAAATGAAGGAGTGATGCCAGATTAGGTGGTGATAGATTCAAAAGTTAAGAACTTTTCTGATACTAATATGTTGTACATGCAAGCATCAAAAGTTTTCTAATGCAATAGGGTTGATTAAATAACTGTGGCTTCGTCCATAATATACAATTTTAACTGAATGGTTTTTGCAAATGAATTCGAAAGAAGAAAATAATTTGAATTTTTTACAGGCTCCGGTTGTTTTCTATAGCAGTTGGCTGTTTCGGTGTTTTATGGTCTGTATATAGTGCTGGTACACTTCTCTGTGTTGAGGAACTCCGTGAGAAACGTACTTTATTGCTTTATCCAGTTTTTTTATTGTATGTTTATTTTTTCTCGCTTTATTCTGGAGTGTAACATATTACTGTTGGATGTTTTTTTATAGCAGTATGTTGTCAATAATTATTGACCTCATTGTTATTAAAATCTTAATCAAAATCATGTTCTTTTTATGATAAAAGCAGTATCATTTGCATTTTGTCTAGTTTATGACTTAAACTTTAAAGGAGAGGTTTTTGATTGTTGGATGATTTTTTAAAACATGGAAATTTCCTTGGTCAACTATGTTCATTTTCTCAGCACTAATAAAATGGTGTCATCTCAATAATTCATTGAGAAGATAGCAAGGAAATATCAGTCATGAAAAGAAGGAAGTCTTACTTAAATTGTGGCATTCGCTTCCTTCTTTCTGTATTTTATCACCAAAGTCAATAAAAAAAAGAATAAAATGAGCAATATATCAGTTTCAATCTGGCAGAATTCTGCTTTTTTATTTTGTTTTCTTAGCTGCATTGAACATTTCATATGCTTGAATAGCGTTTGATCGGTCATTATGGAAAATTGGGAAAGATAATTAACAATTTTGATGCTCATTTAGAAGATTAGTTGGGATTCCAAAGGTGTGCGAGCTATAAACCAACTGCTGGTAACAATCCGAAGAACTGTGATCAAAGAAACAGGTGTCTTTTTATTGGTCCTTCTTAAAATTGATTTCCTAACATTGCACCAGGATATTGTAGGTGATGTTTTGTCATTTGATGTATTTGAAGCTACATTTCGGAAAGGTTCTGAGATAACTTTACGCTTGTTTCCAAGGAATTCAACTTTTTTCGAAATCTCGCACGTTATAAATTCATGAGAGATGTAAGAAATTTTGAGTTCGACAACAAGGAGAAGGTTGCCCTTGCATCTCTGTTAACTTTCAATTATTGCTGCCCGCATGAAAGTCGTTGAGATTCGATTGTTTGTTACAGACCAACACATTTATCCCCTTCTTTTGTTCCTATTATCTTTTCTTTCATTTATATTTTATTTTCATTTTTAATTATTTATTTCTTAGAAAAATATTTCCATGAAAAACAGTGAATAATGACGTGATTTAAATTTCCATTTGAGCTTCTTCAATTGTGTTAATAGATTGACTGTGATTTGTTTTTCTATTCAAATTGCTTTTGCTGCTGGTTATGCAACATCGACAACGTTGTGAAAAGGGATCACCTCATATTTTGATTGTAGGTTTCTTGTCATCATAGTAGAAAGACAACTATCAAGGAACTGATCCTGTATAAGCTGTAGTTAGCATTTCTGGAAACCCACATTTATTCTCTGCCTTATATTCCAGAGATACGGACTTATGCTCCAGGAACAATTTTAATTACTGAGATGTACATTTGGCATGATCGATTAATGTTTTGTAAGAAAAATCTGCAAGGCAGTGACATTTGCAGAAGTCTGAAAGAAGCTCAAGAAACAATACCTAATAATGAAACCAATCAATCATTAGAGTATTAATTGTTCATATCTTCAGAAGCAACCGACCAGTTAGTTGTATGACTAATATTGTCACAAAATACTTACTGATCTGCTCTTCGCATTATTCCACTTTACATTTCCGCTATCAGAGGTGGTTGTTCTGATAATGTTTTTATCACTCTACTCGTTTTATTATATTTTTGAGAAAATTGAGAAAATATCAAATTGGTTTACGCTGTCTGTTTGGCAAAGTTTATGTTCAATAGCGAGACAATTAAAGATATAAATAATTATTTAAAGTAAATTCATTTTAGTTTTTTATTTTCAAGAAAACTGTCATAATGATATTATTACCAGTAGTAATGATAGTGATAAAAATTTGTCTAGCCGATAATAAGGATATATTGGAGTGTGCATGGATTACTTGCCTGCTACCGAAAGTGTGTCAACGCATCGATGGCATTGGTTAGTTTTGCTGTTTAATTTCATATTTGCTGAAGTTTAAGGAACTTTTGATGAGTGTGTTTCATATGTTTTGCATACATTTCCTCTTCTTGCAGTTGAATGATATCTGAAATTTTGAAAAATGTCAACGATTTTGGAAATTATTCGAGAGCCTAACTTGTTGACATTTTCCACTAATCGACTCTTAATTCTAGTACTCTAAAGATTTTTTTTTTTTTTTTTTTTTGGAAAAATCATTTTATGACGACTGTATAAAATGATTATTTACAGTATTATGCGTTTTTCCGAATGATACTGTGAAAACAAAAATGGAAAGACTTTCGGAATCGGCGTCATTAGCGAGTCAGATGAACCAAATCACCGAATCTATCCTCGCGGAATCCGTTACCCATATTTCATCGATCCCTTATTCGCCATCGTCATCATCATCAGTTTCCGATACAGAATCATTTCCATCTTCCGGTGCTGAAACAAAGCAAGGGCTGCTTCTAACTGATATAGTGACACAAATTGATTCAAAGATGTCTGAAAAAAGTTTCATAATCAAAACACTTCCGGAATTATGCTGGCTTCCTGCTGTTACTGGGCCATGTTCAAAAGCAAAAGTATTGTGGTACTACAATTCCTTAAGGGACCGATGCGAAAGATTCAGCTTCAGGTGATAATTTTTATTATATTATGCGTTTTATGGAAATATCAATACTAAAATCATATAGAAATCAACTTTAATATTTATTGTTCGCACCCAAATTATGTTTTTACTAATGCCTTCCAGAAAAGCAATTTAAAACTTCGAGTAAAGAACGAATTTTTTCATTTGTTTAACTGATTTCAAGAATATCGTAATAAATGAGTGATGGCTATCGAAATTCAAAACTATCAAAATTTCTTTTCACTGTTGATAAATTACAGAGTTAATTCGAATTTAAATCGCATTTAATGTTCATTTCAGTGGTTGCGGTAATGCGAACCATTTCTACAGTCGGGAAAAATGCGAAGAAACTTGTCTGATGGAATATCCTAGTACATCTTTTGGCTTTTAATATTCTATTATTTTTATTACCATCCCATCATTTCAAACTTTGAATGCTTTTCTACTCATCAATCCTCTTAAGTAGATCGATTTGATTCGGTTCCCATACACGTAGAAGTGATGATACTAGTTTGGTTACTAACTTTTGCTACCAGTGATTTCTAAAGCACTCTGCGGAATTCTGCGTTCTCCGAGTTCTTTTAGTAAATGTCTTTTCAACTCTCTGATTACACTCGGTGTCATTTAATGTCCTGAATAAAATGAATCCTCTTTTATCATCTCACATTTTAAAATATAAGGGTTAAGCATATCTGAATTTCGTAAACTGACTATCAAAACAATGATGCAACTGATTTCTTTGTAGAATACAAATGGAATTTATCATTGAAACGCGTAAATTAAGTCGCATATCTTTTCTTGAGAAATATTGTATGCTGTCAAGAAATAAAAATACTCAAAATAACATAGGAAATACCAAAAATATAAGAAAAAAAGCACGCATTGCACAATATACTGCAAAGCAATCCTTTATACTAGCAATAAACAGCAGAGCTGAAGCTAAGAAATGTGATAATACAGTACTTTTGATATAATTACATCAGCATAGTTCCTATATATTTTTTTAGGCTATCGATGAGAAAAGGAATTTGTTCTTAGAAGATGTTCATTAGCAGTTGGTGATTTAGTTTAATTTTATCAGGAAGAGATGGAAATAAGAAAGCTTGATACAGACGATTTCACAATTAAAGTAAGCCAAAGTCAGAGATTTTTAAAGACAATATTCACTGGATATTTGTGTACCAGTAAACTGTGTTTCGTCATTTTGAAAATTTGCATAATAAACTTGAGGGAAAATAGGGAGAGAATGACCACTTTAAGGCTGGACCAAAAAAGAGGTCTACAGAGAAGAAGTTATACTTCTACCAACTATCATTTCAGAAATTGCCACTTCAGACAGCAAATTTCCTTTCCAATGATTTTTTTTACCTTTCAGTATTAGAACAAGTGACTTTTCAACATCAGATTTTAGAACAAAAATTATGTTTAATGATGCGCTATCAGAATTTACTATTCTTGTTTTAACTAATAAAATACTACTTCCTTTTCATCTTTCTTTTTTTTGTGGAAAATGATAAGAGAAATGAAGAAAAGAACAATAGAATAGGGATAACTGAACTAAATAAGTGATTTTAAGAATAATCAAATGATTTTCAGCCCGACACCAGCAGATATCAGATCCAATGATACAGATTCAATCTAACTAAATTTAGTTAAAACGAAAAGATGTAGAACTAAAACTCAGCTGAGTTGCAATCGGAAAAGTTGCACTTTTTAAGAATATGCGTGTCTACCCACTTATAAAAATTTTGAGCATTCTTAAAACAAATCTGAAAGAATTAAACTGCACCATGCTGAAAGTTAACAAAATTTGAAATGATTATAACGTTTCTTTCTACAACAGTGGAAAGAAAATTTCAGGGGCATTAATTTAGTGATTTTATAGATTATTCATATTATAGTGCATCGTCGTGACTGTTGCTGTTGTCCATCACTGATTTTCGATTTCATTGTGTCCATTTTATCCTTTTCATGTGCTGCTTCCTGTTGCAACAATATTTTTGAACAAAATTTTAATCAGATGTCTTTCATAACATCAACCCGATATCAAAGCAGAGCCGGTTTTGAGAATTTTGATTTCACTATTTTTGCAGCGTTTATCAGAGCATTACCGACTTTTTACTTTTACTTTTACATATCTGATAAATAATGGGAATTATTCGGTCCGCTTGTTATTAACCACACTTGATAAATCATAAAATTTTGGACTAATTTAGACAATAAACTAACAGATTTTGTTTCAGCTGCTGATAGGATCGGACATTCTCTTGTCTTTTGAGTTTCAATTGTCTGAATCTGTGTCGACGCCGTTGTGTTTGTCATTTGGGATTCAGACTTTTGTGGTATTTCGACACTAAAATGAGCAAGTAGGATGGACGTATTTAATAAATGCTAAATGACAAATAAAGCTTGAAAAATGAACAGAGAAATAAAATTAATTTACTTTATTTCAAGTTGTACTTAATGTTTAATTCTCGAGCATTGGGTTTCAAAATTTTCAGTTCGGAATTATAATGAATTGTCTAGTAAGAAATCACAGAATAAATAAAAAATCTGAATAGTAACAATTTACAAAAAAATTATTATTTAGAAATAATAAATCTTTTGAATATGAGAAATGGAAAAAATGCCTCTTTCTACTTAATTTTAGTGATCTTGAATCCTTAACTTTCCATTAATAAATTAATCTGAACTGGAAATTAGTTACAAAGTTCAAAACTTAGTTGCTTACTTCTGTTCCTCTTTATCGTTTGACCCAAGTTCATCTTTTCCGATTTCGGGACTTACTGTCCTTTCAGTCAATGTTTCGAATCCCTGAATATTTTTTTGTAATAGAATTTACGATGTTATTTTTATCTTAGCAGCGAAAACAACTTCTTGATCTTCATGACATTCTTTTTTGTCCACAACATTAACTAACAAGAACACAGAGCAAAAGTTGAAAAAGCGCAGGATGCATGTGGCAGTGCGCAAAAGTCGTCACAAAATCAACAGTAACATAATTAACACAACAAGCAGCGGTAGCATTTAATCAATTTTCTTCATAAATAATTCAAAATTCCTAAACGCTTGCAACATATTTAAGCGTATATTTGTATCGTATTGAATCAACGTGCATATGTGTCAGTTTCTTTTCCGCGATCTCCAAAATTTAATCAATTCAACACACATCAAAAGTCGAAGTCTTCAGAAGAAAGACTACGATCAAAACAAAATGGACAGACCGGTTGGTTGAATGAAACGAACCTAAATCCTGTTTTTATTTCTTAAAGAACTCTAATAATTCAGAGATGATGTTTTCAAGTAAGACTTCAAAATAAATCATTAGATAACTTCTTCAGATGGTTATTTTTGAAATCAACTTACTCTTGAAAAAGTCGTAGTAAATAAAAATTTCGGGAGGAAATTAAAAAAATAAACAGAAATATATAAAAATAATAAAAACAAAAAAAAAAAAATCTTGAAAATACCCTTAATGAATGCTGTCCCATAGCTTTGGCTTCTTCTGCAAGGATCATTTCAATAGATTTTTTCTTCGGTGGTACTGGTGGCGGTGCATTTTTGGGTGGTAGCACGGGTAAACGCAATGAGACTGATAATGATGCCGCACGGTCAGGTTGACCGCTACGATTAACAAAACTTGTCTTTGCAGACTAAAATTGTTTTGTTTCTTTCGTTATTTTTTCTTCGCTCTTTTCGTTTTATTTTGAAATACGAATGACAAACGAATGACACATGTTGAAGAAAGTTATTTTTAAGCTAAATGCTATTCAAAAAAAAAATATTACGAAACTAAAGAATAGAATTTAAAAGCAATAAATTTTTTCAAATTGCTGAATTAATCTGAAAAGATCAATTCGGATAAAAGCATTAGCAGTTCGCTGTAACTTGTTCTTATTATCTTTCCCAAATTTCGCTCACTTTTTTCCAAATTACCAAGCAATTCCAAAACAGCAAGCAAGCGAAGCAAAAAAAGTTTTAAAAAATTGATATAAGATTATGAGAGAAAACTAGGATAGCTGTGGAAAGAAAAGTTAATCAGAAAGTTTTATGAAAATGCGAATGAAAAAAGTTTAAAGAAAAAAACATTGGGAAAACAATTAGAGCGAAAAAAAGCAAAACTTAAGAAGAGTAAATTACAAAATGAATTAAGATGGAATGTTAAATGAAGCAGCCATAACTTTGCTGGAGCTTTAACTGCGAGGAAATATTATATGATACCTCATGTTTTGATTCAGTTTTTTCTTGTATGTGGTCGATCACTGCCCCTGTGACTATTTCATCCTGGTCATTCCTTTTGGTCGGGATACTTGACTGTAGTGCATTCTCGAGAACAGTTGGAGCTGCAGAGAATTTGAGTGCATCTTCTGCAGCTGATGGCTGGAACAGTTCATGAATTATCTATACTTACCACATCCCTCAGATTTCATTTCACGCTCCCTGCTGTCAGATTATGTCAAAATGAATGTGACTCAAACACATACTCAATGTAGAAAATTTGTCCCAAAAACTTGGATAGCAATTTAAATAGCAAGTATGTTTACTGCACATGCACTGCATACATGTTGCCGCAGATAACGTGCGAGGTATAACAAATTTAATTTACGTACGTAGCTATGTTCTAGTAATGTTAGTTTACATAGTGCATTTCAAGTAAATAACCTACTGAATTACATTTCACATTTAGTAATCGACAGGTCAAAGTTACTTCGAATCTCTTATTAGAATCAAAATGACATGCTATCCCCTTTAGTATTTTAGGACAATAGTGAAAAGAAAGAAGAACGCCACATAATAATTTGATTGAATGAAAATAGAAATTAAAATATAAAATTAAGGCAAATAGAAATTTTTGAGTTGATTTATTGCAGATAATGGGAGGAGATAAACTAAAACCGAAGACTTCACCTGGTCGGTAAAAAGATTAACATTTGTTTCAGGTTGCGGCGCAATAGCTATCAACTTGATTTCATGCTCAGTTCCTTTTCCATTAGCAGTAAACGATTTTTCTGCGACAAAACATAATTCTGATGTTGGTTCACTGGATTGCTGAAATTTTCGTTCTTCCTAAATTTGAACTCATACGCTACCCGATATGTAATTAAAGGAAATTAATTGCAAGAAACAATTTTTTAACACCTTCCTACTTCAACGCAATTTGTACTGATGCTTGATGTGCTTTAGTTGTTTCCCATATATTCGTAAAGATGTCACAGCATCGCTGCATTATATCAGATGTAATTCAACAAAATTATTCCATGTACCTGTTTCTCAATGCGTTCTGATGCAGCCATTAATGATTCGGTGATCTCAAAATGTTGCACTAGTGGCGGTCCTATCTCATTAGCGGAACTCACTACCAGCTCCTATAAATTAAAGTTTGTGGAGAGATGCGTAGAATAGAAAATAAGTGAAAATTAAACTACAAGTTAACATTGCAGATAATGTTACAATTACCTCACTTACCTCCTTTAAACGATCTGTAGTTTCACTGTGTTCATCCTGGAACTAAATAAAGCGGAGAAAATTTTGAAACTTATTTTTAACAATTAGAAATCTTTTCAAAAAAAATATTTTCAAAGAATTATTTTATTTTGTAACGCATGCATCGTATCTATACACTACAAATCAATTGAATGCTTAGTGAACTCTCAAAAAAAGTCGAAACCTTAATATGTTCAGAAATAAGTGGAAATTGTTGTGAGACACTGGATAATTTTCGCTCCTCATTTTTAGTAAATTGCCTGCAAATACACGAAGCTCTACGATAGGAATGAAAGTAACTACTAAACATTCTTTTCGATATTATAACATTTCATTGTAAATGCAGCGAATCGAATAACAATAAAAAAACTCTATAAAAATATTCTTTAATGTTGAAAGTAGAAAACATTTCTTTAAAAAAAAGAAAAAATTTTGAAATAGAAAACAAACGTTTCACTTTTGCTGTCACCAATTGCCATACTGCTTTCGTTTAGGTCAGTTGTGATATCATGAATTTCCTTTCTTTGCATTTCCTATCAAATTATTCAGACTTTCTTAAAATATTTGCAATTCTAAGGAAAAACATACACAAATGACATTCTATTTGTAAACTATCTCGAGTAAAATTGACATGCAATAAGAAATTAATTCGACAGAACGAAAGATTAATTTAATTCACTGAAACTTATGGAATTTTTATCAGCAAAAGCTGAATTTAATTCATAAATTTCGTCTCATGATGCTGTATTAATCTAAAATTGAATTTATCTGACTAAAGTGAAACAAGAATTTTGCCGAATTTTTTTGAAAAAATTTTTCTCTATCCATTTTGATTTTTTTTTGTGCTATCATTATGAATTACTTACGCTCATCTCTTCATCTATCTAATTGCCTTTCAGATTGAATTTGATTTATTACGAATTGAAAGACTTACTTCGTGATTGTTTTGGCACTAAAAAATTTTTATTTACTTTTTGTTGCAAAAAGAAAGCTTAACAGATTTGATTCAGTAACACTTAAACTTTACATCATTAACGATGAATGAATGAAATCAGCGATTGTTTGCAGTATTTTTTGCTTGTTGCTATCGAATTTTTTCTTTTAAGCGACTGGAAAAGGCAAGCTATTGGAAGCGATTTTATTTTCTGTATTTTTTTAACTTTCTAAACATTCAAAAAGAATATTTAACCGAAAAAGCAGATTCTCTGCTAGATGAAACTAGTAAAATAGAAAAGATTGCATTTAAATAAAAGAAAAAATTGAGGCCTGAGATTAGTCTAATAAGGTGTTAAGAACAAGAAAATGAACTATATTAACAAGCAAGTCATTCAGCTCAGTAAGGTTATAAATAATAGATTTCATTTCGGAATTAGGAAATAGTAATATATAAATAATATATAAAACTATAATATATATAAAAGTAATATATAAAACAAATACTGAAAAACAAGCAATCTTTTCAACAATTCGCTTCGATTTAAAAATTACGGCAAAGAAAGTGAATCATTGAATAATGGTTGTTAGGCTAAACTAAGCCGACAAGGCTATATATCGTTAAACTTAGCATAGTGACCCAAGACAATAATTGAACAGTGAAGAGAAGACAAAACGGCATTTTTCATAGTGTAACGATAAATTAAAAGAAATTTCTATCAGCAATTTAAAGTTTCAAAATTTAAAAACTGAACAAAGTACATGATCGCTGAGTGCAAATCACCCAACAGCAATCCTACGTGAGCCTTCAGATTAAGCTTGATATATGCATAGATATAGCTTCCTTAATTTTCACATACGTAGTTGAAAAAAGATTAGTCATTCTGCTACTTTCAATTTCAGATTTACTAAGAATTGACGAATTTGGAATGTTCATATGAATCGATCTGTTTGAAATATCTTTGAAGGAATACATTATTAATTGTTAGCAATTTTCTGCATAATTAACTAAATAATAATCACAGAAGAAAAAAATGAAATTCCGAAGTTGCTTAAATATATTCATAAAAACATGTAACTGCTCTTTATCAAATTTGAATTATATAAAACCTTTCTATCAAACTGGATTTCTAGCACGATCTACAAAATTCAGTTCCGGCATTTAGTGCTATACAAGATAAATACGAACAATGTTTGCATACACAAGCATTTGAGGAATGATAAAAGAGGCTGTTAAAAGAATCCGTTTAAATAACTACTGACTATAATTAAACTTTTAATCATTATTTTTTCAGGAGAAGAATGTTCAGCATCGAAATACAGGACATAGAAGATCAGATGGAAGTAAACCGTCCAGAAACTATGACCTGGATTACATGTAACAATACTTCATTCTCTGCAGTTCAATCCGTGCAACACAAGGAGAAAGAGGAAATATAAACAAGTATCAAAGGGAAGGTTTTCTTTCCGGTCAGACTAAGATAGATAGATCTAATGACAAAAATGAAGTAATAGCTGGTAAGTAATAAGAGAAATTAAAAGGATGGAATATAAGGGATAATAAAAGGCTAAAATAATGCAACATAAGTCGATAATAAATGACAGGAATGGAATGAAATGGAAAATGAGGACATTTATGATGGGGCCTAGAGAGCCTCATTCAGGCATCGCATTGGTATGTCAGTAATGCGTCTTTTTTATCTTCTTTTTGCTTGTTTGAAAAATGTGGCGAGAATGACTAGAAAATTAATCGTCTGACGATGGCTTGCACAATTTTCTCATTTCATACTAAATATTGATCGAGTCTTGCAGGAAGCTTTCTTTTACAAATTTCGGTGAATTTCGCACAGAACACAAAAAAGATTTTAGTAAAGTTGTAATTTGACTGTCAAATTTAATAAGCCAAGAAAAAAGGCTTCGACTGACTCCAATAAATTGATTAGCTTGAAAGCTCAATAAAATGCAAAAAAAAAAAAGATTGTGGTGAAACACCTTCCTAGAATCGCTTGCTTATTATATTTATCGACACTCACATTTCTTTTTCTGTTCCTTTTAAAAATTGAAAATGCAAAATTCAACCAACAAAAAAAAAAAAAGAATCCAAATTATACCAGCTGATTCTATAAGTTTTTCTATTGGATTCTGGGAATTCCTTTTTTTTAGCTTTAATTTCTAAAAAATTTTCCATCTTGCATGATTTAACTTTAAATCTTAAATTTTGGTAAACATACCTGTTGGTCTGCCACATCACCACCTGTTTCCCATTCCTTCAGTTTTTTGCTGATACTATGCGCTTCAAACAATTTGTTCACCTCATCCGCTTTATCATTCACAGTATCTTTTTGTTTTGTAATCGCGATTTCCTCTACTTTCACTTTCAACGCATCATAATCATCATAATAAACACCGCTTTCGGAAAGAATGCCCACCTGTTCTGGAACATCTCTTCCCGGTGGTATGATTGTTTTGATAGCTTGTGTCTCTTTGCTATCTTCTGATTTCGACGCTATCTCTTCCACCTTTTTTGTATCTTTATTAGAAGTGTTGCTTTTTAAGTGATCAATATTGGCAGCACTGAGAAAATCGACCTCTGCGAGAGCTGAAATTTCTTCAGAGAATTTGTCTTCTTTGAGGTCCTCATTATCCTCTCTAGCACAGACATCACTCATCCCGACTATCGGCTTCTCTCTGTCATCTAATCCATAGATAATATCTTTCACATCTGACACCATGTTGATCTCATTGATTTTTTCATTGATCCCCTCTTTGAAACCTTGTAATTTTTCTCCAGCAGATTTTTCTACATCCGCTACTTTGTTATTTACTTCCTCTTTTAACTTCTGAAAGTCCCCAAATGTCTCTTTTCTCAATTTACCCATTTTCCCTTCTTCTTCCTCCACTTCCACAGTAGTTTTCTCACTAATCTCACTGTCAAACTTTTCACAAGTATCAACTGTTTCCGAAACTGTCCTCTCATCACTTTTTGCGAACGGATATATTTTATTCACAACTTCTTCTAATCCTTTTCGGATCGCTTCCTCTCCAAATCCAACGGATATTTTGGAAACTATCTCGTCGACATTTCCGATGAGTTCATTTTCTTTGGTCGTGACATCCAGTACATTCTCAGTTCCTCCTTTTATTTTCTCTAATTCCTCTAATCCACTGTCAGTTTCAAAAGTAGTTCTTCCAATATCATCAGTAAATCTCTCTATCCTGTCCTTGATATCTCCTAAAATTTCTGAAGCTTTCTGGTCGCTTTCTCCACTAAACATTGTCAAGTCGTTGATTACTCCAGAAAAAGCGCAATTAACATCATTTGCCGTATCGTACAGTTTTCCTTTAGTTTCCTTTAGCATTTCACTTACACCATCCTCAGTTTCGTGCTCTAACTTTTCGCTATGACTAATAATGTCTGGAACTACTTTAATCACCTCATTTCGCACTTTGTTAAACTTTTCACTGCTTTCTTCAACTTTTTCTGATAATTTGTCGATCAAATCATTTCTCATTTCTATGATATTTTGTACATCCTCGGAATTTAATCCAGTTGAATCCACTATACTTTTCAGCATATTCTCTTCTGTCATTTCTTCTTGATTTGAATATCTTTTTCAGAAAGAATTCATCACCTAAAATTGTATATTTATAAAAATCAAATGTTTTTTGAATAATTCAATATGATAAATGCGCAACATAAGAAATACGAAGGAAATATTAAAAAATGTTACATGTTACTTTCTAATCACTTTATATCAATTGTGGTTGAAATATAACTGGTGCAAGTAAATAATCAAGCGAAAATAATCAAAAGGTTTGGTTGTCTAAAAACAAATTAAACGTAGTCAGTGATGAATGTAATGATTGACTAATGCTACGAAGGAATCGGTAGGAATATTAGAAGTAAAAACCACTTTGACATCACTCATTCTGAGATATCGCAATTTCCCTCCGACGGATCGCAAAAGAAAGACTTTCTAAACAAAGACTTGAAAAACACAAAATTTAGACAATTATCATAAAACGAATATACATATCGGCCCTTTTTGCAAAATTACAGCTTCTCATTCTTTAAACAAAAAGGAAATAAAAACAAGTTTAAATTAGTTACCAATATCTCTCCTGTCTTTTAGCTATAATAATTAATGCTGGATACTGAAGGTCTAATTTTGAAGAACCTAAGTATTTTAAAATAGAGACAAAAAAGCAAACTATTCAAGTTTATTCCGTTATAGATTCCCAGTCATAGTAATAGTGATAGTGATAGATTACAATTTCCAAATTCCAATAAATTTAACAAATGGAAGAAATAACGGAAGTTTAAATAAAACTGAATTCAAATCTAAATTTCACAATAATTGTACACAGAAATGAAACAGATTTGCCGTTATAAGAATTCAAATACACTTGAAAACAAATCAGACAAATCGGAATTTAGAATGAATGAAGCGAACTGAGCAAACTGGCGCTTACATCCATTTGCAATTGGCAAACATTCCTAAAGCATTAGTTCCTATTTTTGCTTGAAGCTTATAGAATGTTTTGTTAGCTTGTAGCTAGCTAACAGCTCACAAAACCTATCAAAGAGTAATAAGTGACAAAATGACCATCACAAACTGTGTTACGAGATCAGATCTCGCTGATAGCCCATCATACTTGCAATCTCAGATCTCCTTCACTTATACTTCCATTTTAGAATGGAGGATTATACCATATCAAGAACTGGAAATTTCTATGTGTTCAGCTAACATTATAAAATACTGCTGCCAATAAGGAACAGTTATACTTTTATAGTACTTTCTGCTATTTCGTAATTTTGAAGCAATCTATAAAATAACAAACAATGCTGCGTCATGCACTTTGTTGTGAATATAAGTGCGCTTCGATCATTCAAATTCAAAGATGTAACTTACAGTTTATCTAAAATGGAGTCGTTTTTTTCTGAAGTGGAAATTCGTTCTATTCCGGTATTTCTGAACATTTTATTGAAAACCTTTTGAAATGTGTAGAAATATATTTCTATAAACAAATTTTGATTTTTGTGTTATTTACTATAGTATTATAATTTACAACACTTTTAACATCGATTTTAATGAACATAAGTTTAAAACGAATGATATATATCATAGAATAATATCATATCACAATCATTTTTAAGCGAAATAGCGAAGAAAAGTGGCGTTTGTTGAGTATCTATGACACTGCTAGTTTATTGAGTGGTTCTATATGTAAATAATATAATTATATTTGTTAGCAATAGTTTTTCACGAGAAATATACAGTTGATGAGTTCTTCTCAATTTCGTTCTGCAATCCAAAAAGATTACGACAACCTAGATCCATTATTATAAACAAAATGATTAAATATTTATGTATCAATGATTCGGAATCTAGCTACATCCATTATTTCAAGTTAATGTTTATTAGAATATTTTTTGGACTAAGGTAATTAGATTAGGTGAAATCAAAGCCAAAGAGGAAAATTAACTCTAAAAAATTCACCTTTTTATTCCTTTAAGTATATTTCCGCCAATTTTGAAGGAAATTTTTTAAGCAAGTGGTGTGACAAAAAACTGATCGACTTACCAAAATTAAAAAAAAAGTACTGTGGTAATTTGGAAGGAAGAAGCAATAACTGCTTGTTGTGTAGATGAATGACTGAAATGTTAGCTCATCCAACTTATATTTTTAAAAAAAGTAGAAAATTTTGCTTGGAAATACGAAGAATTATTTCTCATATCTTTATGATAGCTCATCACTGCAAAATGTATTTCTGTACTTGAAAAAAAAAAAAAAAACAAGCAATTGAATTATATTAAATTATAAACAAATTATATTATGCATAAAATCTCTCGATATAGTAAATCGAAAGAAAGCACTGAGTGAAAATGGGTGGTAAATGGAAATAAAGTTCCAGAAAGAGGTGTGATTCAGCTAAAACAATGCAACCACCAGTTTAGCCAAACAAACTGGTCCTAGGACGTTCTAACAAAGAGGGAAAACATAAATAAATTTAAGAAAAAAATTAAATCGATATCGGTGATTCAAATGACTAATCATCGGTCCAGAATATATAAAATAATACGTCTCCATGCATACATGCATGCACTCAAATGCAGTGCAGCAGCAGCTATAATTATTTTAGTGCATGCAAGCATGCCATCATTCTTCACTTATCTGCACTGATCTAGACCAAAACATAGCTGTAAATGAAAAAATTATCACTGATTTGGTAGGTTAAACATATGTGCGATTTGCTGAAGAATGGCGGATGTGCAGGAAATGCTTCGCTTCCTTAGATCACGAAACAATCACTTATTGAATTGGAGAGTTATGCAACAGAGCAAACAGTTGTTCAACCACCGCCCCTACAACTAATCTCCGTCCGTTCCCTCATCTCCGGTAATCTCTGCAAGCAACATCCGTAGTACAATGCACAATAAACACCACACGAACTCTTCCTTCACTGCGTTCGTTATGCTGCCTGCCCTCCTGGTGTATTCCGGTTTAATAAACAATTTTTTTCTAATGAATTCAAATTTGAAACTCCGAACGCAGCCCACCCTCGCTCTACTTCTCTGTAACTCTGATCAGTCACTGGGCTTACTTTAAAAGAGTGAAGATAGGCATTAATGAGACTATTATTTTCTTACAGGTATGTTGCTAAAACAAACCGTTTCTGGCTCTAAAGACGACAAGATATTGCAGGTATGGACAGATCACAGTTAATTAATTAGTACTGCTGGCAATAATTTGTTTCAGCTGAAAAAAAAAAAAACCACAGCTGTAAGCGTTGCTATGTTCTGTTGCAAGCATAACATATCTGTGCGACGTGACAACACAATTACATACTTCTTTTTCCGCCCAATATTGAATTGAAAAGATTAGTTTCAAAGTTAGAAGAACAAGTGGTATGATCATTTCTGCTAGCATTAGCTACTCTCGCAGCACTGGACACTTCATTCTTGCCAATAATGCAGTGATATAACTGTTAATGGATTACCAAGCATTCCTGGGCCACTTGAACTTCTCTATGAATTTAATACATGAGCCGATTTTCCCATCTAGTTGTTTCTTCAGTGTGTATGATTCGTTATTGTATCAACAAGAGAAAAAAAAATATTATAGGAAAATACAGCGAAAAAGTTTTTAAACATAAATTGCATTTATAAATTGCAATTCAAACAAGAATAAGCCCGAATAAATGGATTCTTTTTTCTTTTTTAAACTTTTTGCTTTTTTTTTCTTAAAACTTTTATTTTTTTTTAAAATTTTTACACCGCATAGAGCTATCACTCCAACATAATCCATTTATCATCTGAAAAAATTATTTGTAGCCAACACATAATTTGAATGTTTTGTAACCAAAATAATGAATTAGCCTTATTTTACAACATGTTTAATTAATTTAGAGGTTTGATGAAAATTTGTCCCTAAATTCAAATCTGAAATCAGAAATCGTTTCTAAGGATGTTATTTTGCATATTGATAATGCGAAAACAGAGAATTGACAACTATTTCAACCGCCTCTTCCTGAATCCATTCAATTTCATTTCTGACAGCAAAATATAAACGAATAAAGTAAATGCAAGAATTCTGAAGATTTTTGAAAGAAATAGCAATAAATTCGCTATGAAAAAATAAACCTGAAAGACGGACAGGAATGGAATACATTTCAACCCGTTTTTTTCACTCTAATTTTCAGAGCAACTGATGCAATGGCATTTATTCTACTCTTCCAAAAGCTCTTTGAGCGTTGATAGAGTAAAGGTTATATGCTTAAGCAAATTCTGCTAGATATCGGAATAAAGTTGGTAATTTGTGTTTATTTGACTGCAATTACGAGCGTTAATCTATTAATTACATACTCGAGTCATCAGTCTAGGAATTATAAGTGATAAGAAGTCAGATTATAAGAAGACAAAATTATGATCTGAGCTTTCAAACAGAAATTGCAAGTTAAAATTTAAATTTCACAATTCTTTAAATTGAGCAATTTTGTTTATTTCGAACGAATCAAATAACTGGTTAGTGGTAATGATAAGATATCTGAAAAATTAATATTAATGTTAAAATAAAATTTGTCAACAGTTACTGCATAAATAATTCTAGTCATTCTTGTGCTAAAGAGTAACAGAGCCAATTTGACGAGTGACAAAACAGCTGGTGAGATAATAGAAATAATATTCAAAGGAGGAAATCAACGAAAGTTGATGAGTTGGCAATGGAAGAGAATATGGTGAAGGAAGTAAGCAACTGATACATTCACTGAAAGAAGTCTTTTTATCGATAGGGAAATAAAGGATCGAACTGATCTTGCTGATGCTAATATATGACATAAATAATCAATATGAAATTTATTTATGAGAAAAATGTGGTGAAAAGAAAAAGCGATGGAAGAAAAATGGAAAGAGATCTATTGAGCTTCAAATTATCTCCAGTCGTTCGCTCCGTATCCATCCATATTTTCCATTTCTTTTGATTGTCCCTTCTAAATATTCCATTTCCTTTTGAATCCCTTCTGAATATTTTAGCTGACATGTTTATTTTTCCTGCGTTAAGTGCCTGAGATTTCTACTACGAAACAGATC